TATCACATTTTAAAAATGTGAGTCTGAGAAGTAACTATAGCTGTCAAATAAATGCAGTGGAGTAAAAGGGGTAATATTTCCATCTAAAATTTGTTGGAGTCAAAGTATAAAATAGCACAAAAATAAAACAAGAGAACTGGAGTAGCTCTAAATTGTACTTAAATACATTATAATGTAGTCATGCAGGCCAAAGGATGAATAAACATCTATATAAAGACAGGGCTACATTTTGTTGATAGGTTAAAATGTTATAGAAGAGAAGCTCTACTGCAGGCCACTACAGTAATATAGACATTTAAACCTATGTATACATATATTCAATAATATTTGGTCCCATATCTAGACATTGTTTAACCCACAAAGCTGAGTACACTGAGGGCTCTATAATGAGTTATCTTCATACCAGGAGTGGCTTAATAATCAGCAGATAAAGTGGCACACAACATCAGCTATTACAATGCAAAATAAGTTTACATAGCATCCTTATCTTTCTCTCTCTTTCCAATTAAACATCTCTGTGGCCTATAACTGATTTTGTCTACAATACATGTAGCAACGGCCGGAATCCCCTCCTGACAAATGTAGCAGACTGGTAGTACACACAGATTTCTCAGTCTGTCACTGCACCAGCAGTGCAGTCTTGATTGACAGAGAGATCTCCCCAGTAGGCTTGTAAAGCTCTGTTAAAAACAGCAGCAAAGATAACGCAGGTATGACAGAACAACAGCTGTTTTCTCTGAGCATTCTGTGGAGACAGGTCCACTGCTCAGCATGTGCACAAGTATTTCATGACAAAAAACACAGAAAAAGGTTTGCATTCCAATCCAGAAAAGCTTGTGCACATGCCGAGGATATTACATTTCATCCCTTTTCTGCATTCAACAGAAAAACACCTGCCTCAGACACATATTAATCTCTTCTTAATTAAATCTGAGATCCAAAAGTTGGCTATAAAAAGTCCTTATATATATATATTTTTAAAACAGTATAGTGTTCAAAAAGTTACATTAACAAATGTATATTTATCAAATCTCTTCCCAAACACTGGTATCAGTGCCACAAAACATACAGTACTGTAGTAATATATTTATGAGTTACCATTCGCTCTGTCTCAGGTACAGTTTAAATACAACCTGATGAGCAGCAGTCACACTGGAAACATAACACAAATTGTTGTATCAGAGTCAAGTGGTGTAAGTAAATCTTTGATGAAACTGTTTCAAACACATTATTTCAGAGATGCACAAGAATAAATGATGAACATCCAACATGATAGAGCTACTGTATATTTGTGCCAAAAAGCAGATATAACACAAATGACCAGTGCTTTTGTGTGTGTGTGTGTGTGTGTGTGTTACTGTATGTGGGCGATCTTCAAACACTCAAAATTCTCCTCCCTCAATTTATAATGTTTGCATTCACGTGCTACAGCCGTTCCCTTGTCTCATTACAACACAATTAAGGAGCAATTAGAGTTTATTGAGGGTGAATTAGCTGACATGTAGAACAGACCTAATGTGCTGGGAGCATAAAGGGATATTATCTGATATCAGTGACTGGGAAGAAGGAGGAGGAGAGAAGGCAGGAGACTGAGGTACAGTGGGAAAAAAGTGAATGTGGGTTTTTATTTTAAATGTACATGTTGCAAATGAGAGAGGGAAAATGGCCTGAAGAGGTTGTGTCAGGACAAAGCGAGACTGCGGGAGAGAGACAGATAAAGTAAATGTCAGATTGATGTTGGGTTATAACTCTCATAACCTTGGGGAGCAAGACAATATGTACCGAGTCAATACATCTTGGCAGGAAATCTATAGGGTCATGTTTTAGCTCTTTCATATTTTTATTGTTCATCTACATGGCTGCGGTTTATACAGTTAATTTAATCAGATACCAAAGAAGAAAAGATGAAAATATGAGAGCTAAACGATATGAAAAATACCATACAGTTATAATAATACAACTCATCATTATTGGCTGTTTTTAGTTAAAATTGCATACTAGCTTGTCACTGTCATCCTCATCTGTCAGCCAGTCTGACGAACAGGATTACACAGTTGTCAGTAGAGACACTGTGACAAAGCCTGCACTTGAAGACACTGAAAGAGTGAAGGATCATATAAAACATTTCAGTCATGATGTGTAAGTTACAAATTGTACATATATATATTTAAAATTTAGTTTGAATTGTTAGGAGGTGTGGACATAATCATGATCTAATGATAAAGACAATCAACATAAATCACAATCAACTTTTGTCGATATCAATCAGCAAACAAACCTCCGATTTGTGTACTTTAATCTTTATTTCCACCTTTATTTCTGTCTGCTTCACTTTACCCATCTAGATCTTCTTTTCTTTACCTCCATGTCTTTTCACCTGTCTTTCTCAGCTACTTTGATCAACATCTACCTCCATTTACATTTTCCTCTACCTTCTCTATCCTTTCATCTACCTCTGCTGCCTTTTTCTACACCCATCTCGTTTCTATCTCTGTCTTTATGTGACTGTCAAACAATTTCTGCGATTTTGACTCCAAGCTTGAGTGAGCATTCTCCTCCCAAGCATTTCCATTTACCCATCTTTTTACAATTAAATATTGATGACAATTTGTTTGAATACATATGGAGCAGTAAATTATTTATGGTTGGATTTAAAACCACTAGATCAAGCACACCTGAGTGTCCACAAACGCACACGCTGCTGAAAACACCCATGCACAGATCAATACTAAATCACATGGTAGCAAGAGGGAGGAAGAAGCATTGAGAGAGTCATTTATAGAACACTGGTAACTATGAAATATGGACACACATACACACAGACACTCACAGATGCATTTATTTCACTTCCAACTGTGTTCTTGCTGATAAGTTATGAAGCCAACACATCACAGAGGCCTGGATCACTTAAAAGAAAGGCAGAAAGAGCACAGCCAGTTAATGTCTGAGGAAAGCAGCCTTGTGTTTGTCAAACACAAAGGAAGTCTGGTTCAGCTTTTATCTGGCATTTAGCAAAGATGCATGCTCTTTTCTTCTTCTCTGTGTTTTTTTCTCTCTCTTACAGCCTCTGTTCTTTGCATCCCTGATTCTCTGCTCTTCATAATTCAATTATCAGTACAACTAGGTTACTACTCATGATTCACTCACTCATCAGAGAAACACGAAGGGAAGTGGGGTAGAGAGAGAAAAGGCCACAGTGTCTGGCACCTGTCTAATTTTTCTAAATGTGGTGGAACAGCGTTCTGTGCATGGAGGCAGCTGCATCTCCAGCCCGTGAACCAATTCAGACGTGCTTCTGAAAAGCTTTCCTAGTAATGAGATGTAAGACCACATCTGTGAAATGGAGAGCAATGGCGGATCTCGTGATTCTGGATAGCCCTGTTAAGCCCAGTCACAGTGAAGAGAGCTTTTCACGGCATGCTTTATGGCTTCATTTAAAAGCTCTTTGGCGACATTAAGCCAGAGGCAGCACTTCCGCCCTCTCTTACCCTCTTCTCATCACTTTAACTTCCCTCTCTTTGACTCTCTCTGAATCCTTTCTGACTTTTCTGTTGCTTTCCTTTTCTGCTTTTCTTAACATTCAATTCTTGCCCACATATTCTCATCATGATTGCTCATGTATGCAATCTGGGCGTGTCTCTCACTGTCTCTCTTTTTTCTCAGGAGCTGGGTCACCTTGAAAGTCTTGCTTGCCCTCTCACATCACTTGGCTGACAAATATCTCTGCTTTCCAGTAGTGATGCAGTG